AAAAAAAAAAAAAAACTGAAAAGAGAATCCATAAAATATTTGCAAATTACATTTCTGATAAGGCACTTAAATCTAGAATATACAAAGTACTCTTACAGCTCAAAAATTAAAGACAAACTAAATAAAAATCAGCAAAGGATCTAAGTAGACATTTCTCCAAATAAGATATACAAATGGCTAATAAATGGGAAAAAATGGTCAACGTCTTTAGCTTTCAGAGAATTGCAAATTAGAACCACAAGGAGAAACCACTTCATACCTACTAGATGGCTATTTCCAAGAACACAGAAAACAAGTCCCGGTGAGAGGTGGAGAAACAGGAACCTTTGTGCACTGTCCATGAGACTGAAATGGTGTAGCCACTGTAGTAAAACTTAGGGCAATTCCTCAAAAAATTGAATTACCGTATACTCCAGCAATTCTACTTCTCGGTATATTTCAACTCAAAAGAATTGAAAGCAGGGACTCAGATATTTGTACACTAATGTTCATAGCAGCATTATTCACAGGAGCCATAGGTATAAACAACCCAAGTGTCCATCGATGGATGAACAGATAAACAAAATGTGGTCTATATGTGCAAGGAAATAATGAGTCTTAAAAAGGAAGGAAACTCTGACACAGGCTACAACATGGATGACACTCGAGACATTATGCTCAGTGACATAAGCCAAACATGAAAGGGCAGATATTGTACAATTCCACTTATATGATGTTCCTGTAGCCATCAGACTCGTAGAGACAGAAAGTAGAAAGGTGGGAGCAGGGGCCAGGGGCAGGGAAGAATGTGGAGTTAATGTTTAATGGATACAAGATTCAGTTTGGGAAGTTAAAACATTCTGGAAATAGTGGTGGTGACATTGCACAACAACATGAATGTACTTAATGCATTGAAATATACACTTAAAAAATGGCTAACATTGTAAATTTTGTTATTCTACAATTTAAAAAGTAAAATTAAAAAAGGGGAATGAAGTACCGACTTTTGCTACAATGTGAACCTTAAAAACATACTAAATGAAAGAAGCCAGTGACAAAAGGCCACACATTATATAACTCCATTTACATAAAAAAACCAGAATAGACGGCAAATCCATAAAGACAGAAGGCAGCCAGTGGTTGCCTAGGGGTGGGGTCAGGCTGAAATGTGGACTGTGAAATGGAGGAGGGCTTTCTTCTGGGGGTGATGAGACTGTTCTGAAATGAGGGAGCGATGGTTGCATAATCCTGTGAATATATGAAAACCCACTGACTGGTACATTTTAAGAGTGAATTTCACAGTGTGTGAATTATATCTCAATAACGCTATTATGAAAAAATAATAAAGCTACTATTCAACAGAGAGAAACAAAAGAAAATCTGAGCGATTCAGCAGAGGGAGCACCAAGTGTCCTGATGGAAGCTGAAGTCAATCTCGGAAGTCAGTGTAAATGCAAAAACACTCACATAACAGTGCAGGATCTTGGGGAGAAGTGGTTTTAAGCAGTAAGAATTTGGGCTAATCAGACACACATATAAGACTCTGAGCCAGTGTTCAAATTGCCTTTCCAAGTACGTATTTAGGAAGACCCTCTCTCCCCACAACCAAAAGAATAAAAAGGATGTAGAGATGAGGAATAGTCATCTCTCCTCTTGTTGCACTCATGCTATTTCCTCCACATGGGTTCTGATTACACATGCCCATCCTTAGGTGCAACACTGGACAGTGTGGCTTCCAAACTCCAAATGGGCACAACCATCAAATGTCAAAAACACCCAGCAGTCCATGCTGTGCTGACACTGGGTCTCTGGTTCTCCAGCTCTCAGAGCCCCTCCCTCTTCATTAGCTTTCTTGCTGTATACCACTCAACCCCACACCTACATAAGCTGACACTATCTTTCTCTGCTGACTGTGTGGCCAGGCTGTTTGAATGTTTCAATGCATCCTGCCATTAATCTATTTGTTTATCAAATGTATATGGGGTCCATACTGTGTGCAACTGTGTATTAAGTGCTGGTGAAAGAAAGAGCATGGTCTGGCCTTGTTGAGCTTACACACAGAATGGAAGATATAGGAAAGAATCAATGGAACCATAAATGAAAATGTACCCATAAATAATGGCAGTGACAGTGAAGGTAACAGAAAGAGCAAAGGGTGGAGAGTAACAGGGCAGATGCATGTCTGCGCAGCTGGGCTGACAGTGACATTCAAGCAGGACAAGAGCACAAGAAGGAGCCAACTCACAAAGACAGCGCCCAGCAGAGGAGCCCGCGTGGTCATTCGCTTTTATTTTTAGGATTCAACTATGCACACTGCTATTACTAGGACTGCTCTAGGTTACAGTCTGTCCCAAATCAACGGGGACATCCCCCTCCAGAAGCACCTCCCTTGTCCACATCACTGACTGGCTGATTTTCCTGTTGCATTAAGCCATAAACCTTTCCATACATTTTAACAGTCACACGACTATTCCTCACAAGCCACACCCACAATCGCATAACATGGACTCATGAAAATGCATAAACTACCTGGGAAAGAATCAACTGCCCGTGAAATGTGTGCACAAATCTTCTTAAAAATGTAAAATAGGTGCCATCTCCAAGTCTTCTGGCAAGGAACCGGAGGAGGAAATAGCCCTAGAAGAAGAAAAGAAAAAGAAGAAAAAAAGATGCCTATCACGGGTTCATCAGAAAAACACAGACACAGTCAATTCTAACTTCCCCACCAGCATTTTATGCACATCCAGAATATTCCATCTGACCTGTCCCAAGCTGCCCTTTATATTCTCAAACCAGTAACGTTGGGCCTGGGAGTTAGGAACTGACTACTTAGCTCCCAGTTCACCTGCTAATAGCGTCACTCTCTTGTTTTCCCTCGGTTTTCATGAAGCCTGGATATCCATTGTGGCCCAAAAGGGATGAGGGGCTTGGCTCCTCTCTCCCTCAGTGTCCAGAAAAAGGCCTTTACAACTTAAAATACATCCCCATTACTCCCGATTTTTTGCTGAAACCTGAGAGCAATGATAAGATTCTGCTCTTCAGAACTGGCATGAAGCAGGGAGAAGGGAGATGCAGAGCAGGGAGCAGTTCCGCTTCCTTTGATTCATGCCTCACTTTTGGGGCACAGAGTGCTTTAATCACTGGACAGATATCACCCAGTCAAGTGTCACTACTGTGTTGGTGATTCTTTTGTTTGGCCCCAACCATGTTCCTAATTTTCATTGTTTACACAGATGACCTAAAAAGTGCTGCACCCTAACGATCGTTTTCTGCCACTTCAATGCCCTTACCTTCAGATAATGAACCTGCATGAAGACCTTCTCTGGATTAAGCCCATGTCTGATGACAGACGATCCCGAGTCACTCACATGGCCAGTTCTCTCTTTATTAGGTCTAAAATGATGCAGTAAAATTTTCTTTAAGCATATAGCACATTCTTAACTAATTAGACCACAATATCATCTTTCTTCTTACTTTTAGAGTTGCTCAACAGCATCTTAATTCTATTCAATAGTACCAGGTATAATTTAAAACAGTTTACATTACACATTCATATATTGAACAAGGAGGGATTTGTATTTGGGTTGGCAACCTGTGGTTGGCTATTGGCAATATTTTATAGCATCTTATCCAAGATTAAAGCATGCCAGACCCTCAAGGAACCTAACTCCAATATGAATTATTTAAGAACCTATATGCTTTTCTTTGGGTGGAAATGATGGACTAGGAAATGCCATGGAAAATGTAGCCTTACTTGGAAGAGCAAAGAACTTCTTTCTTTTTCAAAAAATCCTGAAAGCCCCAATGTTATCCACTTCTCTTGATTTGCATTTAGTAAGGAAGCCTCCTTTAAGAAATATTTGTACTCTGAAGCCATGTTAGAATCACAAAAACAAAGTTATAGAAGCCTGTGGTTTTAGAACAGATAGGGACATCAGTAATCATATACTTCAACCTCCTCATTTCACAAATGAGGGAAATGGAGGCACTAAGAAATTAAGTCTTCATCCAAGGTCCCACAGCTTTAGATTCATGCTGACATTAGGACTGAAAAATGCCTCCTTGTTATCTATCCAGGTGTGTTCCATTATGTTCTATGGTTTCAGATATTTTTTTAAATTCCTTTAGTAAAAATGTGTTACAGTGAAGCTTCAGCAGCTGGTAAGAGCAAAATCTGTGGGAAGGACTGCAGCTTTTAGCTGTCCTCAAACCAGTCACTTCCTAGACAAATACAGAAGAGCGTGTGTGGGGTAAGGGGAAGCTAAGGGCTGAGACAGCTGTTGGCACAACAGAAAGGAGGGGAATATTTTTAAAGGGTAGTGTGGTGGTGTAAGGAACATGGCCTCTGGAATCTGAGAGATCTAGTGCTGGATCTCAACCCCACATCTTACTGCCTGTCTAGCAGGTGACTTAAATTCTCTAACCTTCAATTTACTCATTTGCAAAATGGGAATAAACCTACCTAGCTTCCCAGGTCCTCTGGGGAATAATTGAAATAAAATATGCAGAGCCCCAAGCAAGGGCTGGGGATACAGAAATGACTCAATGAAGTTTAAAAAACATTCTAAAGTTGTTAGCAATAAGTACTGCTAAATTCAAGTTTGGTCATCTGATGTAGAGGCCATGGATTTCACAGTTCTCCCACTTGATCCCATATGCCCACCGACATAAACGTGTGAGGGTGCTGGATGAATGAAAGTGCTGAGGATGATGCAGCCTGCCAAGTCAGTCCCTCTGCAGTGTGCTGCAGCTGCCAGCAAAGAGGCCTGGTTAAGTCTCTTTCAAATAGTCCAGCACATTGTCCCAGCAGACACTGGGACTGAACCAGCAGCAGGAGAGACGATAGCGACCAGCCACTGGAGCTGGCTGTGTAGATTCCATCTTCCTACCTGATCCCTGATATACCTACATGACCACACTTGCAGCAGTAACTGGTCTCTTTCATCTTCACTTAAGCCTCCATTGAAAAGCAATAGCTTTATTCCTGCCTCAAGTTTGTCCTGGGGTTGAGCATTTCTATAAAGAAAGCCAGGCTGGCTTTGATACCAGAGCCTGGCGGGGAGGAAGGCTTCTGAACTCAAACCAGTTTCCCCAGCCCCAGGACAGAGAGTTGCTGTGAGCTTCTTAGGGCCTGGAGTTCTAAACCGAGACTCCCGGGAGGGAGGAGCGCAGAGGACTGTAAATCTCTCCCAAGCCTGCCTTCCAGGCTCACATTCTTAATGATATCTTTAGTTGGTGCTTTTCGCTTTGCCTAAAAATGTCCTTCCAGAAAGCATCCCTCTCTTATTCTCTTTTCCACCCTCTCCAAATGAAGAAGTCTTCAAGAAAATTCTTTTATGCTGACAGCATCCAAGGCAAACGGACAAGTTCCCCAGAGATTCCTTTTAAAGCAGATATGGTGCTGGAGAGAACAGTGCCCCAGCAAGCTCTTTAAGAAATCAGAGTGAGGGGGTTTTATGAGGAAAAGATGCTCACACAGAGAAGACGAGAGATTTGCGTTTCTGCTCCTCTGGTTCTCCCATGCTGCTTACCCCAGTCTGGGCACAAAGCCAGCAGGGGGTCAGGTAGCTATCAGGACCCGCGAGAACAGGTGGGCAAGACAAGGCACCACCCCAAGGGCACAGCCCAAGGTTCCACTAATGGAGCCAAGGAGCAAGCAAAACACGCCTGTAGGGGTGGAGGGCAGATTAATGCCTACCTTTGGGAGGGCATGTTGACAAAGTGGGTTAAAAGCAAGGTTCTGGGATGCTGGGAATGTTCTATATATTGATTGAGTGGTGCTTCACAAACATAAACAGTAAGAACCCATTGAGCCATCTAGAAGTATCTGTGTACTTTAGTGCATATATGTTATATTTCAATTAATAAGTAGAAAAATAGATGCACATGAAACAAAATGGCACACACTTTGTGAGAAAAAGGAATCAGTCTAGACAAGGGGCTTGGCTGTTCATGTGCATAGTCACACGACCAGGATGAACTAAGCCCTCTGCACTTGAGGACCAATGAAATACATTTTTTAAACGGTACCATGAAGGCAGAAGGAACTACGGCAAATACAAGTGGCTCAACCCCATTCTCATCCACCTTCTTCCTTGCCACCTGGACAATTAAATATGAAGTAAGATGCTCACTTCCAAGCGTCCCTGTAGTGCTGCATCCTCAGAAGACAGAGCCCGGCCAGTGAGACAAAGCAGATGTCTGCTGCAGTGGGGGTAAGTTCTGGGAGAGCTTTTGCCTTCCTTTCAAAAGGGGGGAAATATGACTGGTACTGTCCCTCTTTCCCCTAAACATGATGGATGGAGCTGTAGCAGCCACATCGCAATCATGAGGCAGCAAATCAATGAACTGTGGAGACCAGAATGGGATGAAAGAAGATAGTTTTTGAGGCTATCACTCAGCTGCTGGCCAGCCCCAGGCTGTCTCCCTTCAAATTAGATGAGAAGAGTAACCCTCTTTGTTTAAATCAACATTGCTTTCCTATTCCATTAATTGTAGCCAAATCTATTCCTAACAGACGGAGAATAAAGCTAACACTGACAGTTACCCCTTTCTGTTACCCACTATGCAGGTACTCTACCAAGCTCTTCTGACGCATTATATCCTTCTACCCTCCCAAGACTCTGAGGGAGTAAGTTGTACGACTGTGCCCATGTAAAAGGAAAGTGAGGCCTGGAGAAGACCACAAATGTAGTTAGTGACAGAGTTGAGGCTGGAAACTGGGTTCGCAAAACACCGAAGTCCTTGCTGAACTCTGGGGCCTCCCCAAAATCTAGACTCCCATCTTGGTTGTGCCAAATAATAAGTGGAGAAGCTTAAACAAGTTGCTACCTTCCCTGAAGCTCAGCTTCCTCACCTGTAGAGAGCGTGATGAGGCTCAGATAACCTGAAAGCACTCTGTAAACGTAAGCATCTCCTCACATTATACACCAGTGTTTATCTCCTTGGCTCGATACATGGAATGTGACAGATCAAGTTACCAAGGTCGCCTGGGCTTAAACGCCCCTGCTTTCTGTTGTTCCTGGCATGGAATGTAACAACTGAGATTAGCATCACCTTTCCCTTCCTGTCCCTTTCCTACTGCACTCACAGAAGCGAAGTGGACACTGACAAGCTGGCATATGGCAGATACTTGACATACATGATTTGATTTAGAACCAAGCCTCCTGAAGAAAGGGCTGATTCTATAGTACCATCACAAGGGATGTGGGAAAACGCCTCTGAAATGTGCTCAGGTGTGTCAGCTTGGGTCTGAACACCGTCTGCTCTACCACAGCCCAGACGGCCGTCTGCCAGTGCTCCCTGGCTCCGGCTCCTTGGCAGTAAAAGTGAGAGCCACAAAGTATCTTCACCTATAAACTCACTATTGCAATGCTTGAGTCAGGGACTCAGCATCCCAGAAATACAACAGAAAGGGATTAATCGGCATTTCAACACCGTTGTTTATCCATCCCAGCTGCCCCACAAGATTTGACAGTCCAGGAGCAGGGCCTCATTCACCCTGCAATGATGGAGGAAAGGAAATGCCACCTTGTGTAGAAACTGGCCTCACAGTACTGATTTGAGTCCCAAAAGCACAACTGAGGCCTCACAACTGAAGGGAAGCACCACAGCACACTAGTTAAGAGATCAGGTGTGATTCCGGCTCTGTCGCTTAAGTGCCACATGATCCTGAGCCTGTCACGCAACCCCATGAAGTCCAGTTCCTTCCTCTGTAAAAAGGGGACAAGGAGAGCGGCCGCCCACCTCATCAGGCTGCTGCGGCATCTAAACATGCATAGCCAGAGTCCCTCTGGGCATTTGTAAGCACAGTGTACATGTTGCTATTATCATCATAAGGAATTCTGATCAGCTTCAGCAAGTACTAGCTAAACCTTCCTCTGACAGGCAGAGACACTAGAAAGACACCATCCATCGTTAGCTGTGTACGATGTCATCATTGGGGGAAGCTGCACAAGGCACACACAGGAACGCTATTATGGTAACTTCTCAAAAGCCTAAAATTATTCCAAAATAAAGTTTTTTCAAAAAGATGGCACATTAATATAACCTTATACCTCCCCTTTTCAAGACCCCTGATTTTGAGTGTAAACCCTTCAGGGGTTGGTCTTTTAGTCTGCTCCTCGGAGGCTTAATCATCAAAAAATAAAAAAAAACAGCACATCTCAGGTGTTACTTAAATTTCTAGTAAGTTCGGTCAGGGCATATTCCTGACACACGGCCCCTAGCCAAACGGACTCCGTGAAATTCTGGGTGAAGAATGGAGGCACAATGACTGAAGGTACAGAAATGTTATATGTCGGGGAAAGAAACAAACCAAAGCTAACCAGAGAGCCAGGAAGCCAGGAAGGCAAGACTTGGGGGTGAGCCGGGGCTGAGGGAGAACGGTCTGC